CTGAAGTTGTGTTTAAAGCTTTGTGCTCTGCACAGAAGAAAATGCACATGCGGCTAAAAACTTACATATGGTTTTTGGGGGGGTTCACAGCCCCATCCAAGAGGTGCACAAATGTGAGGTAAAGAATTTTTAGTCTTACAATACTTGATAATAAATGACTGTTAAAAAAAATTGGGGTCTTAAGGCAAAGTTGGTTTGTAATAATTTTAGGTTCTATGATTTGTAATCTACATGCATCAGAATAACATCTTTTTGCTAGTTAAGTAGAGTTACGCATCCTCTTGAAGTAAACCATAAAATTATTACACTTGAATGGAAGCAAAAATACATTAAGTGATATTTCAGAAATGAAACCAGTGTAAGAACATGGTAGCCAGGAAGCAAAAGAGAGGTAGCAGTCCCAATATTCCTGTTATCAAGGGCATTCCTCAGTGACCTCCTTCTCCACCTAGACTCCTCCACCCCCTGCGTTTCTACCTCCTTCCTAGTGCCATCACCTGGAGACCAAGCTTTCAATATATAAACTTTTGGGGAACATTTAGGATCCAAAGCATAATAACCTCATACACTAACATGTACAGGAGTCTAGTGGCCACATTGTCTGGCTTTTGGTATATTCCTATAGTAAGCAAGTGGGAGAACAGGGAAAGATGAGCACTTAGGAGAGATGAGGAAGTGGGAAGAGTGAGAATCAGTATTAAAATTATAAGGATACAAGATGTGTCCTGATGCATGATTATTAAAGGTTCTATGTTCTCCAAAGACCTTGATTATTAAACATTTAGTGCTTGAACCGACTGTGTCTTCCTTGGGCCTTCTATTCCAGTAGTTGGGAGTTAAAGAAGCATGCTAAGAAGTTTTCAAAGGAAAAAAGAAACTTTAGAAAGGAAGAAAGGAAAAGGAAGGAAGGAACCCACCTTAGGCCAAGGATATAGCATTTTAGACAATTAAAACTGGACTTGTAACATTTTCTGTAACTCTACCCTTCATTTGATAAGAAATCTGACAATGTAGTTATAATGTATCTACAAAATGAGTTAAATTTTAGAGTTATTCTGGCTCATATAATACGGTTCTGCTACTTTGAAAAAAGCTAACTGGATCAATAAGACAAAGGCACATTTACCTCAGTGTTTGCTTTCTTCTCTTCCCTGCAATGAAATGCCAGTTACAGTTTGTAGAAGTGAAGTGTGTGATTACCATCAGGAAGCTGAGACAATGCGCCATGCTTGCTTTGTATGACCAGCAGGTCCTTCGGCTCTGCCCACGGTGCCCTGCCCTGTGTCCATTCCTCTCTGCCTATCCTCATCCACGTCTGGCCCAGCGGTACCTCTCACCGGGACTCCATCAGCATTGGGATCAGTCATTGTGTTGGCTTTAGTGTTCTGTTCCCTCACATTCATGTTGAACTTAAATCCCCAGTGCATGGTACTGGGGGTGCTTAGACCATGATGGTGGAGCCCTCTTAAATGACCGACAACCCTAGAAAAAGGCACCACAAAGGGAGTTTGTCCGTTTTGCCTTTCTGCCTTCAGCCATGGGAGGATCCAGTGTTCCTCTTCTCTGAGGTCACAGGGTGTAGGGTACCATCGTGAAAGCAGAGAAACGGGCCCTTATTAGACAGTGACCCTGCCCTGCTGGTGCCTTGACCCTGGACTTCCCAGAACTGGAAAATAACTTTCTGTTCATTATAAATTATCCAGCCTGGTGCTCTGTTATAGTAGCACAGAATGGCCAAGGGCAGCAGTGTGGTTCCTGTACTGCATATGAAAGGATGTATTTAAAATAATTGTTCAAATAGATCAGAGATTAGAGGCTTAGGTATAATACGGAATTTAATTTTCTTTAAAAAAAAAAAAAAAAGACTGGAGGCACCTTTAAGAGCTTCTTCATTTGCCCCCAAGTCCTTCATGTAGCCATGCCCTGCAGCCTGAGACCTGGTTGCCTGTGTTTGTAGCAGAGGTACTTGCTGCCTGTCCCTAAGGAGGGCTCCTGGTTCCATGTACCCACGCCTCCTCTGAGAAGGTCTGTGAGTTGAAGGTTGTCAAAAATTGGGTCCAGATAAGAATCTGACAATAGCCAGTGAATAACTGAGTTTCCATACTGCAGACGCCTAGCAGAGCTTCTATCTAATGAGTTGCACTACTTTTTCTCCAGTGATAGAGGATTGTTTTTTGACAGTTTGCCAGGTCCTGCCCGGCTTTGAATTACTGGGATGATAATGTCTTTTTTTTGTTTTAATTCCCAGGGTGGGGCGGGAGGCAGTACCTAGGTTGAACTCAGGCCTCACACTTGCTAGGCAAGCACTCTTCCTCTTGAGCCATGTCACCAGCCCTGTTGCGCTGGTTATTTCAGAGATAGGCTCTCTTGTTCCACACTCCTCTTCTTTTTTAGCCTAGACCAGCATAGACCATAACCCTCCTGTTCGAAGCTCCCCTCCCCACCACTGGGATGACAGATGCCCACCACCATGCCCAGCTTTTTCAGTTGATGGAGTCTCCCAACCCCTCTCCCCTCATGCTGACCTGGATCCTCAGTCCTCCTGATATCAGTCTCTCAAGTAGCTGGGATTACACATGTGAGCCACCAGCTCCAGGATTACTGTTTTCAATTTTAAATGCTTCATTGTCACAATAGTAGTATTTATATAGTACAGTGTGTCAGGCTCTGCTTACATGTAGTAAAGATCGGTGCTGTGACTTAGGCACAGTTTAGTAGCTTTCTCAAGGTCACACACCTAGTAGGTTGTTGAGCTAGCATCCAGTTTATGCAAGTTGAATCTGATCCTCACTCTAACCAAAGTACAGTGCAGCTTTAAAAGTGTATTATTCTTTGACAAAAGACCGATATCCAGAATATATAAAGAGCTTCAAAGATCAATACTAAACGGACAACAGAGTAAAAATAATCAAAAGACTTAAAAAATGTGAAATGGCCAATAAACACACGAAAAGATCCTCAGTGTCATGATCATCGGGAAATAAAGCCACAGTGGTTTGTAGATGGTGCTGTACACCTGCCACAGTGAGCCTCGAGAAGACAGAAATCACCAAATATTGGCAGGAAGGTGGAACACATCAAGCTTTCATACCTGGTTTTGTTTTAATTTTTCTGGTGGTACTGAGATTTGAACTCAGGGTCTTGTGTGCGGTAGGCTGATGCTCTCCCACTTGAGCCACACCCACAGCTCTGTCGGATTGCTGATGGAACGAGTAATATGCAGCCACGTTGGAGAACAGTGTTAGTTTCTTATGGTAAAACATGCATTCATACTGTGACTCATCAATTCCATTTCTAGGTAATTATCCATGAGAAATGAAAGCATTCCTACCAGAAGACTTACACAAGAATGTTATTCATAACTAGGAACAACCAGTGTGCCCATCAGTGTAAGGGAAAAATAAATTGTAAGGGTTACTTAGTAAAATTAAAGGGTGAACTTCACATAAACAAAACGGGATGATGAGCAAAAGAAGGCAGACGAAACAGACAAGTGACGGTTCCAAATGGTTCCATTTGTAGGAAGGCCCAGAGTGGGCAAAACGAATCTGCATTTGAAATCAGAACAGTGGGTGCCTACTCGATCGGAGGGAGGCCGAAGAGGATTTTCTGGAGTGATAAAAATGTTCTGTCTTGATTATTATTAGTTATACGTATGTCTTAGTCAGTGCTCTTATAACAAAAACGTCATAAGCTACTTAGTTTATAAACACCAGAAATGTATGTCTCATCGTTTTAGAGGAAGGAAGGTCTAACGTCAAGGTGTCGGCAGACTTAGTATGCATTGAGGGTCCACTTTCTGGGTCATAGGTGCACTTCTCTAGCTGTGTCATCACAATGTGGGAAAGCAGGGTAGCTTTTTAGAGTCTCTTAGGAGGGCACTAGTCCCAGTCACCAGGGTTTCACCCTCAGCACCTTGTCACTTCCCACAGACCCCTCTTCTTGGGAGTTAGGATTTCAGCAACAGTGTAGCATAGCAACAGGTGGGTAGAATTCTAAATTGATGTATGTCGTCATGTATAATACACCTTATAAATTATGTACAGTTTTTTAAAAGGCAAGGAAGGCTTTCAGACAAGCACAATGATGATGGAATGACAAGAAGCACTGTACAGTATGTGGAGACACACCAAGTACTGTGTGAAGCAGACTGTTACCTAGAGCCTCATCTGATTTTCATAATAACTAGGACAAGTTTAAGTGTAGTATAATTTTCTAAGAAGTCAGCAAGGTATATTACTCTTAACAAAGGATTGTATTAATAACTATCATATTAAAACTTTTGTAACGGGAAGACTTAGGTGTCTGTGAGTCTTGTAGAACATTCAGTAACTTAAAAGCATTTCCTGGATTTTATGTAAAGAATAATTGTTAACTCTGGGAAATGATTCTGAAAGGAAACCAGAATATAGTCTGGTTTCTGCTCTTTTAAGAGTTTCCCAAAAAGAAAGCACGAGGAATTTCTATAGGTCAGTTTGCTCAATTGTATAATTTAAACGGAACATTTGACTTTCTATGATTTGTATAAATAACTTAGGTCCGGTTGATAGACAACATAAAAAGCAGCATCTAAGTTTAAGCATGTTTGTTTCAGCATCTTGTCTGTAATGTCTTAACTGTGAGGAACTTAAGAGATAATTAAACAGAGCAGTGATTTGTGCAGTGTCAGACATGTAAACCAGTTAGTTCTACGGAAACTTGTGGTTCAATGGTGTTAGTCTCTGGCCCTCCTCAGCCTGTCCCATGACAATCAGATGTGCTTGAATTCTGGAATGATGAATTAAAATAAGAGTTCCGTTGTTTTTCCTCCGAGGGTAATCTTCAGAATAAAGGATTGTCTTTAAAGTTAGTTCCTGGGTTTTGAGCTCTTTCTAGTAGGTTACTTTTCTGGACCATCATGAAGGTAATGAGCATATTAGTCACCTCATTGTTAGCTAGTGTGGTCTCTGGCTCTCTTCTGTTCATGGAACGCTAACTCCTGATCTCTGCATCTATTTTAGTAATAGTTACGCACGAGTGCGAGCCGTGGTGATGACCCGAGATGACTCGAGTGGCGGGTGGCTCCCCCTTGGAGGGAGCGGACTGAGCAGCGTCACAGTCTTCAAGGTCCCCCATCAGGAGGAGAATGGCTGTGCTGACTTCTTCATCCGTGGAGAGCGACTCAGGGACAAAATGGTAATGCGTAGCATTCTATCGTGTAATCTGGGGCGCTTTGTAGAAAATGTACCTTTAAATTATAATCTCCGTGTTATTGATGAGTTGTTTTTGCCTTTGACTCAGTGATTGTTTAGGGAGCTGTTTTCCTGTTAGAGACAGTGAGCTATGACATTAACGTGCATACATTGTGTGGGGTGCTGCTTGTCACCCAGCTTTTAATGCAGGAATGGTCGTGAGCAGTCCCCTAGTTACTGCATCAGCTGTACCCTGTCTCTCCCTCTGCTACAATTCCCCAGACCACAGGTGTCAAACTGGTCTCTCTGACAAATTGAGGCTTGCCACCAGCTTTGTTTTGATTTGTTTTTTGTTGTGGACTATGACCTAACAGTGCTTTTTATGTTTTTAAAGGGTCAAGTTAAAAAAAAATCATAATTTTGTGACACATAAAAATTCTGTGAAATTCAAATTTCATTGTCTATAGGTAAGTTTTTTTGAACATGGCCAGAGTCATTCATTTATATTTGTCTGACTGCTTTCACACTCAAGACAGCTGAATAGAGGCGACAGAGACTTAAGTGTAGGGCCCAGTGCAGAAAATCTTTGACTCACGTCCTTGATTTGTAGTCTGAGGCGCTCTCTCCATTCCCCATAACAGTCTGCTTACTCTAAATCAGGACCACCTGTGGCCAGCCTAATTTTTAATACTATAACCTTCCACCTAGATGTCTACATTTTTTAAGTTTAGTCTAGCCTTTGATGTTACTTACTTGTTCTCCTTTAATTAGTGTGAAAGCTCTTTCTCCTTTATTTCATTTGTGAGCCAAAATCAGTTAATGACATCTGTGAGCCTGAGTTACATTCATGTCATTTCTGCATCAAGGAAGAGTGAATCTGCATGGGAAGTAGCATGAAAGTAAAGCACTGGGAACTTCTCAGACCTTGAAAACACCTGGCATGTCCTTTAAACATGGATTTGTGGACTAGCTTATGAGCCCAGTCAGCTTTTGTGATACTTCTGTGAGAAATGTGTCCTAAGATTCAGATAATTCTCTTCACATGTGAACATTTTGAATATGATATACTTTTAGTTTGGGTTTTGTTTTCTTGCCTTTTTTTTTTCTTTTTTAACTACTGAACCATTTCAGTAATTTAGAAAGTTGCTTAACTTGTCTGTGCCCCAGTGTCTGTCTTAGCTAAGGGAGAGTTACCCTAATTTATCTCGAAAGACTTCCAAGTCTCCTTATTTTGCAAATTCATGATTGATTTCTATGTTACACATGGTACTATGTCCCAACTCACCAGAATGTGCTTTAGAATTGTGGGAAACAACAGTTAGTCAGGAGTGAATACAATAAATATAATGAGTTATCTTTAAAAAGTTTAAGTATTTGAAGGTGGTTCTGACCTTGGATAAAATGATACATGGCACAGGCTCTAATGCATTTTTAACCTTGGAGACAACTATGAAACAGTGACTTGTCTTAGAGTACCATGCTTCTAGTTTGATAATGGGAATGCTAGTGGAAAAAAAGTTGGAGATTGTAGAAACTGAGTAAAACATTGGGGACCTAAGATGCCTTTTGTAAAACTGTTTTGAACAGTAAAATTTTAAATTGTGAACATAAAAAAGCAGAAGAAAGAAGTCAAGGATTCATTAAGACTTGGAGATTAAAAGCTTGCTAGGAAAAGCTTACCAACAAGAACAGATAGCCTAGATGTAAAATAAGAACAGGTCAGAAAACGGTGTGTTGGGCATAGTGATGGAGACAGCTCCCTGCAGGTGACTCAGTAAGGGCCCAGAACTCTATAACCTGGAGTGGGGCTGGTCAGACAGCTCCAGTTTTTCAGGGTGTGGCTTCCCATAAAGCTAGTGAACATAGACCTGGAATTCAGAAAGAGCACAGTCTTATTCCTGGATAGAGCATAAGGGAGGGAGACAAAACAAAAAATAGAGCACTTAACTGTGTCCTAGGTTAAGTCATAGGATGTAGACTCCTGATAGACTAGTAAGAAAGCTCTCTTCGTTCTGTGTGGACTGGGAATGGAGCACCTGTTCTTTCGCTTACCCATTTCTCCTTGAGGACGAGTGCCATTTGTGAGACGGGCACCGAACTTCTAAATGTAACCTCATGGAGAAACTGCCCTCAGTGGGAGGGTTGCCGTATTTCTTACAGGGATTCACTGTGGTAAAGCGTTCTAGGTCCTGGGCACCTGGATGACCCGCAGGTGTGACTCATGGAGTAACTTGAAGACAGCAGGGTGGTGTAGAATGTCAAGACAGTGACGGGAGACAGTGGGCAGTTGGCCTTCTGGGATCAGATGTCCATTGCCTCAGTGTTCTTACTCATTTGCTTATTCTAATCCATTTTTTGAGTTAGAGTTTTTGGATTTTCTTTTAAGAGTATTGTGTGAATATAAGTTTATTGGTTTATAATAGTTTTAAAGATTTCTCAGTGAATAAATAGTATGTTTTAATTTTCCTATGTTATAATTACGTCAGACATAATTGGTATAAACTGTTCTATACTCAGTTGTCTGAGAACCACATCTTAGAATCCTCAACCTTAGATGACTTACAGAAGTGAAATTCTTAGTAACTTATAGAACACAAGTTCTTTGCACTCCATGAGAGTAAACTCATGCCCTTTAAGAAAACAGAGTAGGAAGAGATGTACATAACCCTTGGCTAATGAAGACGTACTGACTGGTGAGGAGGAAGATGTCTGTTCTCGGTGAAGAGAACTGTGCTTTGCAGAAGACTTTTCCTGTCCTGAAGACAGGTCTCATTCTCTTTCCACAGGGTGTGCAGCATATCATATCCATAGGTTCTGCCATCTCATACCAAAGGTGCTGAAAACAAAATTGTGTGTACCCTCAGCATGTACTTTTTTCCTGGTGATTCCCACCCGGTACCTTACTGTTGTTATATGACCTCCATTACGTGGCATCTGCATCGTGCTGGATGCGGTGATGGAGACGTGACTTGACCGCTATGGAATGTGCACAGGTTCCATGGAATGGGCCGGCTCCATTACTCTCTTGTGGGGCATCCTGGAGCTGATCCTTGCAGACACCGAGTGACTGTGCTTCACTTCTTTTTTAAGAGAGGGGGCACAGATGAAGAGCAGGCTGTCCAGGCCTTTTAACAAAGGCCTTGTTGTGTTTACTTGAGTCTCTCGCTCATTCGTTCACTGGAGGTGCCTTGCAATCATGACTTCTATGTGTTTACCTGTAACTTGCTCTGTTTGTGACTCCTCCGAAAGGAGAGCTAGCCTGTGAGTACTCTAATTGAAAGCTTCCCAACCTGTTTAGCCTTTATTGGGTTAAAGTAATGGGGTCCTTCAAACTGATACCTTATACATTTCTTTTTCTGTGTGTGTCTGAGGAGAAAAGGGTTGAAAATTGCTGCATAATTGGCTTTTGTGCTTTACTGATGGTTGACAAAGAATTTGAAAGAAATGCCAGGCTGGGTTGTTGCAGCCTCAGAAGGTGAAGGCATAGTACTTCCTACAGATGGGTGGGGTGGAGTGGCCCTTGTCCAGGATAGGCTCTCAGAGCTGCTCCGTGCATGCCCTTTGAGTGCTGTGCGGCCTTGAGGTCCTTCCTTCCCTCTTTCATGCCCGAGACCATCCATTTCGTAAAATGGTACATGTGTGCAGGTGATCCTTACAAAGAGCTTCAAGGTCCCCGTGACAAACTTTTTCTTTCATATTGAATTTTCATTAGATACGGTGGCTCTTAAAACACTGAATTATAACACACCTTTACATTCTTTGTAGCTGCCTGAATGAACTGTTAATAGGAGCATTAAAAATCGCTGAAATATTTATTTACTGCTAACCACAGGTTTTAGTAATTAAAAATAGCTATTTTTAAGTTTATAGATAATAAAATACTACAAATTTACTAATGTGAGCAAAGTAATTTTTTTTGGCGGGGGGGGTGGGGAGCAGTGGGTTTTGAACTCAGGGCCTCACTGTTACTAGGCAGGCACTCTACTACTTGAGCCACTCTACCAGCCCTTTTTTTGTGATTTTTTTTTTTTTTTTTTTTTTTTTTTTTTTTTGCTATAGGGTCTCACAAACTATTTGCCCAGCCTGGCTTCAAACCTTGATCCTTCTGATCTCTGCCTTCTATGAGTGAGTAGCTAGGATTATAGGCATGAGCCACTGAAAGTTACGTGTTTTAAAGCATAAGCCATGCTAAGATACGTCTTAAAAGAGCTGGCGAAGATGCTTAGAGAAGCAAGCACAAGCAAGGTTGTAAGGTGGCTGCCAATGAAACTTCAGAGTGACAGAGGTGACCTTGACACTGGAGAGATGATGAATAAACACGTTCAGTTAGGAAGTTGCCCAAGAGAGTAAGTAACTAATCGAGCTTGGATAAAAAATTATTTATAAAAATAAAAGTGCTATTATTCTAAAATAATGGTTGTGTTGTTTACAAAGAACACACTTTTTGAAATGGGGCTTCTTGCCAGATATTGGAGCGTCAAACATACTTGTTTTCTAGGAAGAAAATAATTATAACAGTAGCTTTACTACTAAGGCGACTCAGCCCCTTTTTACCATCTTAAAAGACAAGAGAAACGTCTTTCTGCCTTGGGTTGGACTTTGTGAATGCACGAAACAATAATTCCCTGCTAAGCTTTTCCACAGTGCCTCTGAATTCCTCCATCGTGAAACCTCAGGCCCTACAGAAGTGGTGTCACGAGTCTTCCCTTGAGGTTCTGCCTTCCTGGCAGCCTGTGTCCTGACGGACACTGGACGAAGGATGCAAAGCTGGGGGAGGGGTGGGGGTTGCAGTGCATTTGCTGCTCCTTCTCCCCTGCATGCCTTCCCTCTCCCTCCTGCTACCCTGTAGCCCTTTGTCCACACATGGGACCATCCTCTGCTATTCATTTGCTTTCTTCTATACTCCCAACTACTTGGGAGGCTGAGATCAGGAGGACTGTGGTTCAAGGCCAGCCCAGGCAATGTTGAGAGCCCCTGTCTCCAAAATAAGCAGAGCAAAATGAA